GGTTCACGAGTCTCCCTCGACGCTCCCGCTTCCGTCGGACCGAGCCGTCAGACCAACAGCCTCCTCACAACACCGGCCAGCATTTCGGCCGCCTCCTCGTGTCTGTTGCCCACGGCAACTGCGTTGCCGACGGATCGTATCGGTGGACGATCTGTTTTTGTCTCGCGCTATTCTGTCACTGGTCTCTTCTTGCTCAATCTTAGTCTGGCGGATCTATTGCATGTGTTGGTGTGTGCACCATGCACCCTTCTCTCAGACTATCTCCTACAAATGTGGCCATTCGGCGAGTTCACATGTCGCCTGGTCAACTGGGCCCAAAGTCTGGTCGTCCTCCTTTGCGCGTTCACGCATGTCGTCATCTCGTTCGACCGGTTGGCCGCCGTCTATTGGCCAATTCAGCGACGTCGACTACTCTCCATGCGATCTGCCCGCGGCATTGTACTCAGCATTTGGGTCCTGGCCGCTGCTTTGTCGACGCCGACGTTGATCGTCTGTCGTCTTGTCTACAGTCAAGACGGTGTACCCACCTGTCAGGAGGTCTGGACTGATGTGGCGTTGCCATCGGTGACAGCGTCGACGTCGACGTCGGCGTCGACGCCGATGTCGACGCCGACGCTGGAGCCAGTCTCCAGCGTTTCAGGCGCCTCGCCCTCATCTCGAAGTCTGACGAGAGATGCTGTGCTGGCAGATCTCACGTCAATTAGGCTGGCTAATTCGACGACCTCTCGGCCCGCCCACTCAGACTCTACGTCTCGCTTCAACGTCGACTCTGGCAGAGCTGAATGGATGACCTACCTCGCCTATCCCACCAGCACTGCGGCTAATGTGGTCACCTCTTCATCGGTGGTTGTCGAGGGTGCTGGTCTAGACCAGATTTACAGTCTTGTGCTGTTGTTGTTGCAGTACATATTTCCCTTAGTCGTGATTACCGGCACGTACACTGCGATTGTGTTGCGCATCTGGGGCTCTTCGACACCTGGTGAGCTGGATGTGAAACGAGATGAGGCACTGAATAGATCGAAAAAAAGGGTAGGAAATCACAATTTATAATGCCTAGTATCTGTTGATGACATGATACATACATTGTACACTTATGGTGGTCTTGCTCAATTTACTTTTCCTTTATATAAACAGAGTTTCGAGGCTACCAGCAACTCAGTTATATGAAACCTATTCACTCTATTTCATTTATGGTGATCAAGGAATGGTATTTGATTTTTCCCACAATGCTACGTTTACATATCCGTATGAAAGTAGGCTTTCGAGACTACCAGTAAATCAGTGTAATGAGATGTATTCACCCTACTTCGTGTAAGGTGATGAAGGACT